GAGACGTATCATTATCAACTAGCGGAACCGGGAAAATTGGTAGAACTAATCGTTAACATTGTGAGGCATGGCAGCCCTAGGGACTTGATTTAGGGCACAGTGACAGGCAGTCTGCTTTGCCTGATGCTTTCAAGGTCTCTTGTGTTATGGTGCTTGAAGGCTTTACATTTTGCTTGATTTTCCTTTTGAAGGGAGAGGGTGTGTTGTCTAGGTGATATAATTATTTCTACTTTTTATTCATTGTTTTATTTTTATTCATTTTTTGGCATTCATTATATTTTCACATAATGTTGTAGGTCATGATTTTATGACTTTATTATTAGCTATTGTAATGAGAGGAAGGAGGAAAAAAGAAAGCGGTAGAAATTATGTGCATTATGTTATTCATGAATGTAAGAAAGAAGGATTAGAGAGAGAAGTCTATCTCTGAATAGTTTCTCAGTGACTTCAAGTGGTGCCTCCCCTTCCATGTCACACGCAGGATGTCAGTTGGCAAATTATGGGTTGCCTCACAAGCCCTCGAGTTGTGCATGCAGAAAGGAAAAAAAAAAAGGAATAAAATGAGGAAAAAATTTGATATAGAAAGAGATATAGAAATGGAAGTATGTTTCAGGCTTTGCTTTCTATTGTGAAAGTTTGTTTAAATGTTTGAAAAGACAGATGATTATGTAATGTATTAGGAGGATGAAGAGAACTGCTTTCTGAGATGGTAATTACCTCATTGGAGTATTATCGCTCTTATTGTTGGTTCAATCGAGGCTTAGGGTTAGTTGCGCAGTTTCTCGAGGTCATGAGACAATTACGCCCGTAAATTCATCTTTTGTTTGTGAGTTTCTGTTACCCTGAGGCTTTTCATGCAAGGGTAGAATAAGGAGAATGTGTTATATATACTATACTATAAATTGTTTGGAGTTAGTGTTGAGGTTTGTGGTTAGATTATATTAGCAGAAATGCTTGATAAAGAACTGCTGAGATGCATATTTTTACTTAAAGACCTTGATGTCAGGAAATCAATATGTTGTGAAAAAATGCATGATGGTGTTAGGAACAGTAATGAAGGTGAAATTGATGATAAAGTTGGGTGTTAAATATTTGCAGCAAATTAATCATAGGCAAAAAACAACAACTTATCATAGCTCTTTAAAGAAAGTAAGTAATATGTTAACAGTATTAAGTTTTAAAAGATAAAACAGCAAGTTCATGTACCTTAACTGCAGTTGTGTAATAACACCAGTATCTTATCAATTATCGTGTTTTGTAATTTTTTTCTAAGGAAATGACATTGATAAGGAAAGAATGCATAGTCATTCAATAGGGCTTATTAACTACGTGGACTACCTTTCTGTCAATCATGCATGAGGATGTGGTTGCAAAACTGCATTGTAGTGTCTGAGCAATTCCAAGTTGTATTGCAAAGACCTTGACTGGATCATCCTTGGTTGCTGCTGAGGTTCTTGCCCCACTTTGCCTTGGAAAGCCAGCTCTCTCTCTTTTCTGCCTTTGTTTCAGGTCTGCTTTAACACTCTCTCTCCTTTTTTGTACTTGTTTGACTTCGGATGATACAGCATGAGGCTTGATCATACACTTGTGCATGGGCTCACATACATTTGCATACACCTGTACACACTTAAGCATACCTATACATACTCATATACACATTCATGCTTATGCATACCCACACGGACATGCACGTACGCACGCACCATACACACATGCACCATACACACAAATGCAGGTACTTTGTGTCAGTCTTTCACTCTCACTGAGACAGTCATACAAAAATAAACACAACCACACATAGCTTAATGAACTGTGTTCATTCATTACAACGATGTAGGAAATTACAAGAATGTATATCTTCACAGTGTATTTGAACAATATTGACCATATCAATTTCAAATCTGGCCAAATAAATCTATATTGTTGAGCTGTTCATTCTCATTTTTATCAGTTTTGCTCATTTCAATGCATACACAGACATGTGCACATGCAACAAAACATGTTCACATATATATTGATATACAGACAGACTCTGTACATAGACATACCTAGAAGATGAGAAAAGAAAGAGAAAAGTATCCAATTGCTAATCTCCTGTTTTTTGTAAATTGTATATTGTAGAAGATACAACATACTTAATCTGAATATTAATGCTAATGAAATTAATAAAATTTCACATATCCAGTGTGCAGCAGATGGCAGAGGAAGGAAGGAGAGGTAACTTACTTTAACATTTGTTCACTCATGCATGCAGCAATGTCCTCATTTTTCTTATACGTTGTACCTAGGGATTCATGGTCATCATTTGTTTGGTAATTGTCTTAATGTGTGTGTGTGTTTGTGTGTCTGGGCATGTGTGTGTGTCTGTATGTATGGGTGTGTCTGTATGTGTGGGTGTGTCTGTGTGTGGGTGGGTGTGGTGTGCGTGCGTGTATATATATGCTATATTGCGCATGTGCATGTATGTTCTCATGTGTGCGTATGTTTGCATTTATGTTCAGGTGCTCACACAGGCATTTGCCTGTATATGTTTTTATTCTTGAGTGCACATACAAAAGATAGTAACTGAAATAACATTTCATGTGCATATGAACAAGTAGCTACACAGATATACAGTCACACACTCACTCACTCACTCACTCGCTCAACTCTCTTTTCACTCTCACTTCACTCACTCACTTACTCTCTCTCTCAGCACATGCGCACATTCACATCCACCCACATGGCACACTCACAGCATTAGCTCTATTGGTTGCTCTTGTTATCTCATTGTCTTGGTTGTGGTCCTTTTGATGTTTTGAGTCTGGCATTTCTTTCGAAGTACGGTTTTCTTAATCTTGTAGTCTGCATGGAATCCCTGTAGCTTAAATCTCAAATGTCAGCCTGTGTAATTAATTTGTTTATATGAATAGAATTTACATGTAATGTGCTACATATACATCTATATAGATATTTTTATGTCATTTATGTAATATATGTGTATATGGATATATAGTTTATGTGTACATGTATATATAAAGTGTTTGTATAGGTAGATAACTACACACATGTTTACATTTTTATTTATGTGTAATGTGTACAAGTGTGTGAATATTTTATGGTTGGGTATAATAAGTTCTTTCACTCCATAGTTAATCCAGATTTTTTTTCTTTGTATAAGACCTGTATTATTCCTTGCCATCTGTCACAAATAAATCTGTGAAAAAACAACACAAATCCTTGTTAGAAAAAGATGAATATCGAGATTTATTTTAGGGTTATGTATATAAAAGAATTATTCATATCTTTTGTCAGTATCTTCTCAATAAATTCAAGGTTTTCAAAAGCACTTGGTCACTGCTGCTAAGCTGGCATGCAAGGTCTCATGTGTTGTGACAGCCAGTAGTATTATGCAGAGAAAGGCTATGAATTGGACAAGAGTTAAAAGCTTATGCTTAACCCCCACAACACAAGGATGTGGGCAGGTTTTCTTTTCTGTCTCTCTTTTTCCAACTCTCCTACTCACTTGCATCTTTCTCTTTTTCCCATTTTTTTTTCCGTTAATTTTTTGGGTTCAGGGTCAATATAATCTGCATAATTTATGAGTGTGAGAGTCTCAGACTGTTACCATGTTGTTGTTTTGTTTTATATTCTGATCTTAGGAGAGATATCGGGTTTCACATATTCGAGTTGTTTATTTATGTTTATAGTGACTTGGTGGTGTGCTGAGTATGAAGTTCTTTCTTTCTGTTGTGCTTTTGTCTAAATGGTTTAATCTGTTGACCTTCACCTGCTGTCCTTATCTACTATCAGTACTGTTATCAAAATTATATAACATCTTTTTCACTTTCTCCATGGCAATTTATTGTTCATATCCCCATATTCTTTTGTTTGTTCTTCATTTGCTATCATTGTTCTTTTTTATGGTTTTCTGATATGTATCTCAACTTTCATTTTTTTTTATTATTTTTTTCTTTTATTAAACATTTCTTTATCTTCATTCTTATTGCCTTTTTTTACGGTTTACTCATTTATATCTTAAGTTCCTTTTTTTCTTAATTTTCTTCTTTAATCTCTCTCTTTCCTCCTCTTTCTCCCCTCTCACTGCCTCCTTCTCTAAATTCATGTGTTTATCTTCTTAATCAACCTCTTGTCCAAGTATCGGCACATCCTCGGCAGATTCTTCCCGCACTTGCTTTCTTTTTGATAAATGGAAAATGGCAGTGTAGGTTCTATATGCAACTGTGTGGCATGTTGTGAAAAGCTACGTTTAAGAGGTTGTTTACACAAGGATCTTCTCTCTCTTACGTTATAGATGGTTTGTTTAGATATATTGATAGTAGGTGGACTAAGTGAGGTAATGGTATTGATATTTATATTATTATTGTTGTTATTTTTATGATTTTGCATTTGTTGTTTTTAATGACGGTAGTATTGGTAGTATTGTTATTATTGCTTTTATAGTTACTGATTTCTTCTCCTTTACCTCTTTACTTTCTCCTCTTCTTTCTCCTTCTTCCACCTTCTCCTTCTCTTTTGCCTTCTCTTTCTTATCCTCCTCCTCCTCCTTGGCATCTTTTTTTTCTTTTCTTCTTCCCTCCCTTCTCTTCCTCCTCCTTTCTCCTTTCCCTTCCCTCCTTCCCCTGCCCTTCCTCCTTCTTCTCTTCCTCCTCTTCCTCTTTCACTTCCTCCTCCTCCTTTTCTTCCTTCACCTCCTCTTCCTCTTCCTCCTCCTCCTATACCTCTTCCTCCTCCTCCTTTACTGCTCTCCCTCCTCCTCCTCTCCTTCTCCTCCCTCCTCCTCCTCCTAATCTCCTCCTCCTCCTCCTGTACCTCCTCACTTTCTCCCCTCCTCTCTTCTCCTCTCCTGCTGCTTCTCTCCTATCCTGCCTCTTCCCTCCTCCTCCTGTCCATACCCCCCATCCTTGTCACATTAGCTGATTTTTTTTAATTATAAAAAAAAAATGAAATTGTTATATTAAAAGACTGAAAAGCTTTATAACCCAAATTCTGCATTCCAGGCACAAGCTCCACCATGTCTCACTACGACGAAAGCCAGTCAGAACGCTTGGCCAGGAAAGCACGTGATGCCCCCTTCATGGTTGCGGGTATGAAATTTTTCTTCCAGTCTTTGTCATTGTTATTATTCTTAGGTTTCTTATTTAATACTTAGTCTTTGGTTTCACTGTGAGAAAAGATGGGAAATCAGCACTGAGTTTTGTTAATGTGAAATATGGTCATATTTTTGTCATGCTTTCTTGTTTTAAGAAATTTCAAACTCCACAATAAAGTACTATAGCATTACGTAGACACAAAGTGCATTAGGTAAATTATAATGTTCCCTTCGCCTTGTCTATCCCCTTAGGCTTGGCTGGCTTGGTTGGCCTGGTAGGCTACAGCATCTACGGTTTTAAGAACAAGAAAATCAAGACCTCTGTATATCTCATCCACACCCGTGTCGCAGCTCAGGGCTTTGTTGTTGCGTGCCTTACTGCTGGTGTCTCATGGAACCTGTTCAAGAACCACATATATCCCAGGCTTTACCCAGAGGCTGTAGAGGAGAAAAAGAACTGAATTCCCTCTAAATTTTGAGATAGAGCAAGCTCTACTGTAGAGATTGATGTGTACTTTACCCACAGACACTCATACATATATTTTTTACTTGTTCTTTTTGGTGTCTGGTCATCATGTGCACTCTCATGTCAAAGTCGATACTTTTCCCTTTTTCTCAGTCTTATTAATTCATAACTTAAAGGATATTTTATATATACAATTGTATATGATTGTATAATAATTTCCTTCATCTCATATAATTTTTTCATATATGCATTTGTTTACATTTGTAGTGGAGAAAAGTATGTACTGATACTTTAATGCTTTATGGAGGTATTCAATATTATACATCTATGTTTTTTCTGCTGAAAATCCTGTTCAAAAAGTGTATAGAGATGGAGTGTCAGCCACATCCCATTTCCACATTTTCGTGGAAGACAAAGATAAGAAAATTTTCCCATTTCTAGATGCATTATCGATGTTGGAAATCATATTAACCTTTGTACTCTCTGAATACTACTTTGTTTTTCTTTTGATTTTTCATGGTAATCATGTTCATGATTTTAGCAGTTTCATCAGGGGCTTTAGTTCTGTTGATAATACGTTATTATAGCATATTGTTGTATTCATGTATGCTTCCTTTTAAAAACCAGTAGATGGACAGCAAAAGAAAAAGGAAAAATATACAGCATTCTGGATGCAAAGGATTTGGAAAGGCTGTGATAGAAAGTAAGATTTGTTCATCCTGTCCCCTTGGCACTCCACTTTTTCATGACCAAGACAGCAGCTGTTGCATGTGTGGGTAATAAGCATAAACAGCAACTTTTATTGATATTTATTTATTGATTTAATTATTACAATCATTACTTCCTATCTCCTTCATTTCCAGTTATTTTTGTCACAATTTAAAAGCAGGATTGTGTATTAGGTCTAGATTTCTAGCCTGATGGTTTGATCATGCTTAGTGGCTGTAGTGAGCTTATCCTTGTGGCGATCAGAGAAGTCATAGTGGAATTTGAGTTAGGTGTGAGACTAAAGTTCATTGGACAAAATTTCATAGTATATTTGTATGTGTTCTCAGATATGAATGGTGAAATTTGGTAGAAAAGTGAGCTGTGTGACACTAACATTATTTTTTAACAAACTGAATGCATGTTTGTTTCTCATAATGTGGGAATGAACTTTATCAAATGTGAAGTGACTTCTGTTATTATTACCACTAAGACAGATGTAATCGTCAATTGTGGAAAATACTGCTATATAGTATGTAGTTTTCAGTTTTTATCTTAATCTTCTATTTTCAGTACAAAGTACAGATTTTCCCCCTTGTATTGGTGCAATTTTATTATGAAAAAGCATATTGTAATCTTGCCTAGATTTTTTTCCTTTCCTTTTTATAGGAAAATTAGCCTGGCCCTTTGCCAGACATATCAGGCTTCTCAAAGTATGATCTATGTCAGTTTTTCTTTATTATGTACACAAGATAACTTCACATGCAGTTGACCTCCAATGCCCATGTTTCAGTTCAATGTCCATTTTACAGTCCCGGTAGGCTAACAGGAAATTTGATATATATACTTACCAGAGAGTAAATATATATATATATATATCTCAGATATTACAGGCAACAACTGTGATTTCAGTTATGCTGTTTTATATTAAAAAAAGGGTTTAGAAAAGATCTTCATTTACCATATTTCTGTATTTTAATGATGTATTGCATAGTCAAGGCGTACTAGCACACAGGTGTAGAAATGTGTATATATATAGAGATTATTCAGTCATAAGACAAATAATAAAAGGCTTATTGATTTCTCTTAGTTTCTTTTTCTTTTTATAACTTGTGTACTGAATGTATTTATTAAGGTTGAGTAATTATGTATACAGTGTGTTTATGGATGCACATCACACACAATGCATGTGTTCATATTGATAAGTTAAGACACAAGAGTGTGCAATTTTACGGGTGTGGGAATTTGTGTGTGGGGGGGGGAAACATAATATATTTATTGTATATATAGGTATAATTATCAGGTAAACCAACACCATTTATAAGGAATTTTCACATATCTCTGTCATTACCAATACCCACATTTATGAACACTTCTGTAAGGAATGCTCACATCGCTGTTGTTATTAATACTCACATTTATGAAGAGATGATTCCAGTTTGCTATCCAAATATCGAAAAAGGTACTACTCTTCTTGAATTTGGAAAACCTTTCTTGCTGCTTACACTTGGGAAACTTTGGTTAAATAGAGAAAGGCTGGAGTACATGAACTATTTGACGTATTAACGCAATGTTAAAACAGGAAGAGAAAAAAAAAAAAAGGTAGCATGAGAATCATAAATTCCTCTTGTAAATATCATGATACAACACATAACTAATGGAAAGCCAGTATACCAAAAGTAAAAAGGAAGATTGCTTAACCTGGCTTGTTTTTCAAATGATTCAGTAAATTATTACCAAATTTTGCAGTCTGTTAATCTATATGTGAAATTAATGTTGCATTTTAGGATGATTTTTTTTTTTTTGTTTTTCTAATTACTTTCTAATTTTATATATATATATATTTTTTATTATTGGTACATATTTATTTCCAGTTCCATAAGGATAGCAAAACATACCAAAAATTCTTTATTTTCTCTACTTGCTCCCCCAATACTTACATCGTTGCCATGGGGGGGGGGGGGCTAGGAGATGGATGCCCTTGCCTTAACTAATTTTGCTTGGGTCTTTTCTTATCCTCCCCTCCCAATACCTTGCTCATTGTCATGGGAGGGCTTAGGAGACGAAGACTGAGGCCCAATGTAGGGGATCACCCCTACCTTGGCACAGTATTCCCTTCATTAATTGCCTAGCCCTTACCATAGCCAATAATGAAGATTCTTTACCCTTAATAGGGGAATTACGGCTTGCCCCTTCATCAACTAGCCTATCTGGATTTGATTTTGATGGTTCTCAGACCCCTGCCCCTCCTTTGACCACGGCTCCGACCACTGATACTAATACCCCCTCTTTGATGCTTATGAACAACTCTAAACATTCCAAAACATCCACCCAGGTTATCTGTAGAAAGCACCCCTTCCTCTTTCCCAACATTCTCCTCTTCATCTCCTGCTACACAGTCCTCTTCAATGTCTACCCTGTCTTCCCTTATTACAATTCTTCATCCTTATTTTCCTCCCCCCCCACAGAACTACTCCACTCCACACCACCCCATTTTCCTCTTTCCCTCGTACTTCTATTGCCTCTACCTCTGCAAACTTTCTGAGTTACTCATTTTGGCCTAGCCAAGTGGGATCGATTCTTTGTGATTCCCCCCACAGCTCCTTACTCTGAGAATACCCTTTTCTTTCAACAATGCCTCCAGAAACAAGAAGGCAAGGTTACCTTTTGCAGTTACTCTGATCATTCATGCTCACGTTCACTTTCAGATGTCACAGTTACATCTGAATGCCAAGCTCAAGCACTATCTAACCAAAACTGACCTTACTGGCAAAACTCATTCCTGCCCGAACCTTCATCCCTCTTAATATTTGTAGTGAAACTTTCTATTCCACCAAATGCTTGTCCTATCTACAGCAAAGACTGGTCAGACTGTGAAAATTATCTACTTTCCTGCCTTACTGAATATGATGCAGTGGCAGTACAGTGTTACACTATTTCTTCCAGAGGCCAGTGAAATCATATACGGCAATAGTGCCAAGATTAGCTTCCATAGACAAGACCTCCCCCATGAGGTTTTATTGGGTGGATTGTTTTATCATGCTGACCATATCGACCCCTTCTTCGTTAATGTCAGAAATGTCTGCGTTTTGGCCACCCAGTCATTGTCGCTCCACAGCCCACTGCCCTCTAGTGTGCCCAACCTGGTCATGACCGTTTAAATTGCCCTGGTCAGTCACATTCATGTGCCAATTGTGGAGACTCCCATACTGTATTTTATAGGAGCTGCCCTGCCTATAAGCTCCAATGTGAGGTAGCATTCCTCAGATTTAAACTAGGCCTCACTCTACATGAGGCCAGACAAGAAGCACAAGGTTTTTCTCTCTTAACTTATTCCAAAACAGTCCTTCGCTCTCTGCTCCCCAACATCTTCACAAGATATTTTTCTACATCCTCCCCTATACCCTAACCATCTACTCACCCTATCCCCCAGTCAAATTCATTTTCCATTCTAAATTCAGATACTCCAACCTCTACCACTTCCCAAATAACTTATCCCTCCTCCTCACTTTATTTTGTCGTACAGGGCAACCTAAATGTTCCACTCCCACCCTCTTCTCGTACTACATCCTCTTCTGTTCCTCAGACATCTATCTCCTCGTCTCATCCTCATAAGAGAAGCTTTGTCTCGCAGTCCTCTTCAACCCACTCCCCTTCAGGAACACTTGGAGAGACATTAAAAACTTTCTAAAGATGACGCCACGGG